TTTTATCTTTCTAATAATTTTATATATTTAGAGCCACCTTTATTAGGCATTGGTAACTCTTGAAATTTTGTTTTGTTTCTTTTAATTGGTATTTAGGACATATATTATATAGATCTTATAAAAAAAAGAGTTAAAGAAGGATTTTGGTAGCAAAAAGAGTAATTAGGGGATCCATATAGATGAATGGAGATAGATGATAAAAATCTCCATTCTTATTAGCCAAAATTCATATCTAATAGACTTCAAAGAGATTGCTTGAGGTCTTATTAGGAATTAGGGTTATTCTTTTAAAGACATTCCAATTTAAGAAATAAGGTCCAAAGAATTTAGGTTTTTTACTATAGTTTCAGTATAAATTTTGTATAATTTGATTTTTTTATGAAAAAGTTATAGGCATTCAAAATTAAGGTGTTGATTTTGAATCTATTGTCACTCTTTTGAACATAATGTGTATGTACAAAAGGCAATGAAGGATCAATGATTGGGATTGAAGAGAGCACTTTTCTAGCTTTATTTTTTATATACTGGTTGATGAATTCTAAGTTAGAATAAAGGAGTGATAGGAAGTTGAAGTCAATATTTGCAATGTAAAGGCAATAAGTAATCCAATTTACTAGTGGTTTTATTTTGAGCTATATCTTTAGCAATTTGATAATTTTTTGGCTAAAAATTTCTAAAAATATGTGTTATCATGTTATTAAACTTAATATATAAATTTTGTAGCATTTGGATCTTGGATTTTTGAAATATAGAAAAAATAATACTCATATGTAAATTAGGATTTAAAGCACCTATTAGGATTTCTAAGATGCCAAATGATCTGTAGTAGAATTATAGTTTATTTTTTTATAATAAAGCTTAAAGATAAATTCTATATTCTTTAGAAATTTGAAAAAAACTAAATGGTTGGATAAAGAGATATGAATTTCTAAACTTTGAAGAGAAAAAAATCCTTTGTAGGAAAAAAATATTTTGAAAAGGTTTTGCAATAATTTGGATATTTTATACAAAATAAAGGGATTTTTGAAAAGTAAGACTCTATATATATGTGAAAGATGGAGATATAGAGCTATGACAAAATTTATGATATAAACATAAATTTTTGTAAGATGATTAAGGATTTTCCTTGAGCTTATGAGAAATCAAATTCACTAGCAATTAGTTAGTAATGATTTGGTATAGCAAAGGATGTTAGGATATTTTTAGATGCTTTAGAAAGCCTTATGTATAAAGCTTCTTAAATATAGAAGGATTTTATTAATAAAATATCTTTTGATATTATTATATTTATTTGGATTTTATAATAAGAATACATCACTTATTGGAACTTGTCCAATAAGTTAAAGCTAACCTCTCTATATCTAGGTACCCGATGTATTCCTAGATAGAAAATCATGCCATCATAGTTCACTTATTCTACACATGCGTCACATAGTTCACTTATTCTACATGTTTAGAAAGAAACTATTTAGAAAACTTACCTTGCAAGTTAAGATACGTGTCTTGCAAAGTCAACACATATTAGAGGTCTTATAGAACATTGCTAAATAGTTCTTAATTAGATAATATAAATAGAGGCAAGAGTGAAGCCTTCCTCACTCTTGTCAATGCCTTTCTAATCTTTAGTCTTCTTTCAAGACTTTCTAGTCTTCTTATCTTTTGCAACAATCATTTTAATTTAATATTATATCATCTTTGAGTGATTTTCTAATCTTTTTGAATAACACAACAGTTTATTGACCTTTTAGTTCTTTGAGGTTTATGTCCTTGACAATGATGTATTTAATTATGTTCATGGTTCCAACTTGTATTTAAGAAGCTTTTTTATGTTTATTTACAAAGAAATTATTTAGTTAACATATTTTTATATATTTTTTATTTCTATTATTTAAATAATATAAATATTTTAGTATATTTTTTAATTTTAAAATCTTTCTAAATAGTTTCTTGATTTTAAAACTATAAAAAAAATATTATAATTAATTAATAGAAAATTAAATTAAACTTTCTACATTTATTTGATATTATAATAATACAAAATCATCTAAAAAATTATTTTTAAATTATTTTATATAAAAAATAAATAATTTTAATAATTAAAATTAATTATTTGTTTTAAATATAATATTATATTATTTTTATTTTTATTTTATTTATTCTTTTATATGCTTTATAAGAAGTTTTGGCTTTATATATTATATTGATTTGGTACTTAATTTAGTAGTAAAGTTATCTAGATTAATAATATTTATCACTACAAAAAGTAAAAAAGCCATGCAATTTAGTAGATTTGAGGTCTTAACTTTGGTATTTTAATTGTAAAAAAGTTTTAGATCTAATTAGTTGGAAAGTTCTCTATAAATCTAGCTTTAATTTGGAAAAAAGTTGTTAGTCACCTTAAATCATCACTTGATTGTTATATATCATTTTGGATGTAAATTATAAGTATTAATTTCAAAAATAATTCTTTTTACATTAAAATTAATAAGTCGTAGTTGAAATTTAGATTAAGTGAAATTTTTCACTAATTTCTAGTTTGAACCAAATTATATATAACTTAACTTAGTAAAACAAAATCTGAAGACTTAATTTAGATTAAATATTAATAAGATATGATAATAATTTTAAAAAATATATATTCATAAATTATTTAAATAATACTTTAAAATAAATATAAATAAAATAGAAATAGTCATTCCAACTATTAGCTTAAGTACTTACTTATACTACTTCAATTAATTCCTAGCAGCTAACTATTTTTTTTAGTGCATACTTATTCTCTTGACCTATTTTTTTCTAATCCAAACTTTAAAAATTTTAGTTTGTATGTTATTTGGATATCTTTGACCTACCTTATATTATCCAAATTCTATTAATTTAGGTCTCTTTGTTAAATTTGTTCTTCTAAACTATTTTTGGTCTACTTAGCCAATTTATAAGAATATGGCTTGTTAATGTTTAGCATAAAAAAATATGCCAAAATCAAGACTATTAAATAGATATATAAGCTTTAGATTCTAAAATTAGAATAGATTAATTATTATATATCTAAAAATTATTTTTTTAAATCATATTTTAAATAGAATTAAAATAAAATTTCAAGAACATACAAAGTAGAAAATAAAATAAATTAAAAAATAAAATAAATTAAAAGTGAAGAAATTCATAGCACAACATAAAATAAAGTTTTAAATAATATAATATATATGTATATGTATATATTCTACAACAAAATTATTTTGAATATTTTGAATTAAATAATAAAAACTACATAACCCATAAAAGATACAACCTTTTGTACTAATTCTAAAGGAATATAAAAAATTCTTCTCTTTTTGGCCTCTTTATATTCTTTTATATCATTGAAATTTCATTGCTTTAGAAATAACAATAATCATTAAAATACTAGAATCTTCTTGTAACAAACAAAAGAATAGCTTTGAATCCCCATCCTTGTGTCAAAAAAACACAACAAAGAGGAAAAGAGGGGAAAACTTTCTTTTCTTTTGTGATGGATGGGACAAGCCTTTTTCCTTCACCAATCCAGACCATCTGCAGTGTGTGGATGCAGCTTGGCGCATGGAACTCGACGATCATGGACGTCACCCACAAACTTCTTCACTTTCCCCACCCCTTCAATCTCGTGCCACAAACAAAGCTGGCTATTTTTAGATACTAAAAATGTTGTTTAAAAAATAAAAGAAAAAAGAAAACCGCATGTTTTGATATGCAATTCTAAACAATCAGTACATTTATGAAACGATTTTCGGTATCTCCCACGAATTGCCCTGGAGGTTTGTTTGACATCACATCGGGATGCTCGAGACTGCATTTATGGTTGCAACACAATGAAGTATATTTACGCACAACAATGTGCTGTTGCCTGAAATTTTGGGTGATGGAATCCCATTGTTGTCAAATCTGTTTGCAGCAAGGCTTGTAGCAGAGTCCTGGTTTAGAACGGATGCTATGTGGTGAAGTTTCCGGGAGGACTCTTTCAGACTTGAGACAAACCAACGCTGTTGAGATCGTCGTGTTGAGAAACCTCTGACTTTGGTGGATATGCCGACTTGTTGCGTGTTAGCCATGTGAGAGTTGAAGATACAGTTCCAGAGATCAAGGTTGGTGATTTCAACGTGCAGAAAAAAAGAAAAATAGAAAAAAAGCAAAAACAAAACAAAAAACCCTGAAATCCTGTGGCACAGTAAACAAACTGAAATAACAAGTGTTTATATTTTTTGTGTGCATTTTTTGTTTTTTCTTAGATAACTTTCTTGTTATGTTTGGTATCTGGTGTTAATCACGTCTTCAGAGGCAGGGAGACGTGTTCTCATTGGAATGGGATGATGCAACGAGACCTTCAAGTGGAGCCTGGTTGAGTTGGCAACACTCCACATCCTTCAGTCAATGTACGCAGTTCAAACTTAAAATCCTAAGGGATAATAGCGGATAATATCAGAGTACCAATCTGAATCGCCAATTCAATGCTGAAATTGTGGCGGAATTTGATATTCCATTTCAACGCACTCCATCGCTGCAAGATGGTCAAACTTCGAGTTCACGGCGCTCTCATTATTGTGTCATTAAATTAAGATAAGGTTGTGTTTATGCGACGCTGAGAAGGCAACAGAATACTATCTAAAAATCATAGCTTTCTCTATTTGGATGGAAATGTTTTGATGAGAGACTTCAGGACGCTTGTCTGTCCACACACTGCCTTGGACGAAAATTTCCACCTTCTCAACCAATTTTTCTTGTCGCCTCTTCACCATCCCATTGACCCAGCGTTGAATATAACGGCGACCAACGAGGTGGTTAGCAGCCGATCTTCAATTTGACCCATCTGATCGAAAACACTGAATCTCCGAAGAAAAATTGTGAAAGTGTAATGTACTATTTTAACAGAAGCATTCGCTGTTCCCAAACCGACGATAACAGTGATCTCGGGTTACTCATACCAGTATTTGGGATCGATTAGCAAAACACACCGACCTCCACAAATGAATGTCGAACATCTTTTGTTAGATTCATCGAGTATGCAGGTGGGAGGAGGATGGAACATCATGACCAAGCTAGAGTCCATTGATTCCAGCAGGTGCAAATGCGTCAAATTGCCTCTTTCCAATCAGATCAAAACTCCTCCATCGATAACTGTTTCTGGACACAGACACTTTTCTCGTTTTCCTTTTTAGTGAGATGGAAATTCTTTAAAATGCTGTCCCAACCAAACCACACAATTTGGTGCGAAGCGAAGACAACGTGCTGTAGAACTTGGAGAGCCCCACCTGAAGGGGCACGAAAGTCTCCTGTGTACAGTTGCCGAGGAAGAAAAAATTGGCGAAAAGCGACGGTCAAGTCCCTCTAGTCATCGCTGATGTTCAATTGCGCTTCAAGGATGCAGCAGAGGCTAGGGATTCGTATACATAAGGCGTTGGCTTGTTTGGTCTCAATGGTTATGTAGCGATACTGCAGCTATGCTTTACGACTGGTGCATTCAACCCACCGACTCAATCAGTTGAACACAAGGTGAAAGCACGTTTGAAACCCTTCGATGGACATTTCTTACTCCAATCTGGCTGATTGATTGTAAAGAATTGTAGTTGCTGGATTCTTTAAATTCATCACCCACTTGTTGATGAACAAGCTTCTGACTAGTAGATCACAGTGTGAGTGCTTTTTACTGTTGCTGGTTAGGGGATGGCAAGCTTGACTAGACTGCCTTCTTGTGGAAAGACTGTATAGGTTCTAAGAGTTCATAGTTATTTTCGGCGGTCATTTTTTGTGACAATCAACAACCCTATTGAGTAGCCATTCATTTGTAGCGTCAAGCAACCGCTTGGTGTCATCAGATTCGAAGACCACAACGAAGATTCATCTGGATGGTCACCCATGCATCGGTTCTGCTCACATTCTCCATGCTGATAGTAACACCAGTTTGTTAAATACCCCCCTGGCAGGTCGGTTGCTCCCCAAAACATGCTTCAATTGAGGGATCGGTATCCACAATGGCTATTACAGCTGCGATGCAGTTCTAATTAGAGCCGAGTCATTCACAAGCTCACGAACATCCCAAATTCAGCCTGTCTAGAACCAGATTATCAACTAGATTGTCAAGCCATTTTCGGAAACCCTTGGTCGTCGTCCGCGGGCACATTGTGACCGGAAGCTTCAGGTGAAGGGCCATTTTGCTCTTGCCCTGTGAGACTCTGCAAGAATTTTGGGTGATTAGTGAAGGGTTTGCCGTCGGAGAGCTTGCTCAGGGAAAATCCTCAGCAACTAGCGGCCTTGCTGCAACACTCTTCAACGGTTGAATGGTTGCTTCTTGCACAGGAACTTTTCAGAGACAGGTTTGAATGTCCTTGGGAATTTGTGGTATCATGTAGTAGCTCGCACAAAAATTTGAGGAAAATGTTGGATTGGTTCAAATAATAGCAGGTAGCTCCATTCCAGCAGGACCCATTTATGGTGGATAAGAATTAGCATTCAAGGAGAAAGGGTTGAGCTTGCAAAATTGTTTTCCATGGATAATGTCTACACCGAAAAGACTTTGCAGAGGCAAGGCTCAAAGCTGTCGAAACCTCGGCCCACGCCAAGAGTGAAGCTGTGGACCAGGTTGTCGCCCCTGCATTTGTTCCGGCTGTTCCGTGACACTTATGTAAGAGGATGTGTGACCTTTGGAAATAGTTCCAAGGTTAATGCAATTGCTCATGCATCTCCTTTTCAGATAATTTGCGACGACAACACCTTCAGCAGATCAAATTCACGGCACGTCGATAACATGGCCACTGCGCAGGAGCTTCTTGACTTTTCCAGCAAGTTCAGTCGCCAAGGATCGTCTCAAGGATCTCTTGACCTGTCTGGTCATTTCAGTCGCCAGGTCTCAAAGCAGGAAGCGATCCAAGCAGCCCGTGACCCTCGCTCGGCAATGATCATTACTGGCTACCATGGTGCGTTGGCATTGCCCCATCCTTAGTCTATCATGCATAAATCATAATACCAATAGCTCGCATTCGATTTCAGCTCCTTACGATAAAGTTAACCTGCTGCTCATCGTTCTGTTCTGCGCGGTTGTCTTTCCAGCGAACACACAACTACAACTGATAAGCTCAAAGCCGAAATCATATCGAATAAATAAGTAAGGATGAAAGTGATTGTTCGCAATGGTTGATGAATCCAGCAACAACTGCCCCCAATCCGTCTAGGTCTAGTGAACTCAGTTAGTGGAGGTTCTTTGTCCACACAAGGTCTTGATGCACTACTCGACCCAAACACTCTATTGGACTAGGTGCTGCAAAAATCATCTCTAGCGCTAATTTGTATTGTATCACTCTCAAATTCTCATGAATAGCTTGTAGTGGATCATGGGCTTCAGGTTTGACAATGGAGGATTTACAAGGCTACTCTGGCTCTCTCTGCAAGACGGGTGCCTCGGGATTGAGCTTGATTGAGATACAAGGCTACTCCGGCCCCCTACGCACCCGCCCGAGCTTCGACACGGTGCCTGAGAGCGAGCAATTCAAAGATACCAGGAGCTCCAAACTAGCGCTGGAGAACCTGTTCCAAACCTCCGCGCTTCACCCCACGGAATTCCTCCATTCCTCGTCACGAAGAGTTGAGGGGATCGAGCTTTACAAACACGGTCACCTTTCTCCGGGGCACACGACCCTCACGAGAGGAGGCAGTGAGAGGCCAGTGCGCCGACCTCACCCTGGACGCCACCTCGCCTCCGCCTCTGTTTCCCGCATCAGCAACGCGTCCTCCAAGCCCTTGAGCCCCATCACCGACTTGAACTCCTTCCGGGAGCAACCCGACGGAAGAAAGTCGTATGATCTACCACGCGCGTCATCGCGGCGGCGAGAACGGTTCGGGAGCACGAACTCATCAGGAAGCTTGATCAGACCCGTGGACTATGTTGTCGACTTCCCTCGATCCCGATCGAAGAACGCCGCCAACAGGCCGAATCCTTACCGAGAATACGACACCAGAGTTCCATCTCCAACCACGACGGTGTAGATCACTACAAAACCAAGCTTTAACCATATTCCTACGCACAACATTCGTCGCAATCCCCTTCAAGCAATGCCAACGCCACAATCCGCGTCTTCAGGTATCGTCAGCAAAAATTACTGCGACGGCATTGCTGCTGAACCTCCGCTGCAAGCTTCAAATCACAACAACCATAGAGCTGCAAGCCCTGGAGCAAATCAGACCCAACGCAGGGAAGTGGTAATATTGAGGCTATGATTACGCATTCTCATGAGACCCCAGTACATGTAGGTTGATCTCGTATACAAACCAGTGGAGTAATCTTCCACCTCCTGTAGCTTCTATAAACTTCCTCGCAGGAGAAGAAGGGGCCGTAGGAGCTGGAAACACACTGCCCACTGCATCGATGTCGGAGCATCGTTGTTGTGTTTTTTTACAGCCGAAGAGCACAATCGCTGACAAAATCCTGTTCAGGTCCCATTGCGAGTCTACCCGATCGTTCATTTATGAACCGATTGTTTGACTGTGAACATGTCTATGTGATTGTTTGTTTGTTCGATTGAATTTAATGTGCATGATTCGACGAGAAATTGTGTGTATTTTGCAACGCAGTTCGATCTCGTGTCGGTGATGGAAGCTCCGAGCTTCGTGTGCTCGGTACTATTTTTACTTTTTACTTTTTTCATTCTTTTCTATTTAAGTTTATTATTCTCGATAACCAGGTGGTTGCGATTTAGTCTGAGACAATGTTCGTGATTGTTTGCAAGGAAAAAAAATTGGTGTATTAAGTGAGTGTGTGACCCATCAGTGTTTTTGTGTTATTCAGAAAAGTTTGATTGGGGATTTTGTGCATGTCTAAAAATTATAATTATGCAGTTTTTGATCTTTAAATGTATTACTTGTCGATGGCTGAAAAGGCTTGGAGAATAATGATGGGAACTCCACAAAGGATGGAACATCAACTCTGAACGACATTGCCGTTAGGGCAAAGTTGTAATTGTAGTTAGATCTAGAATCTGTTATAGTGGGTTTTATTGTTGTATTTGAAGAGAATAGGGATTAACAAGAAGTAGGATTAGAATTGCCTTAATTAAGTTTGCGGCATTTTTATGTTTTTTTATATCAAAAGATTGTGGAATTGCATTAACACTTTAAGATTAGATAATCTAGCAAAATGATTTTGTGCTTAGAAAGAGTGTATAATAAATTGTTAGCAGTGAGATGTTAGCATTAATGATGAGTAGAGACAACAACACCATTAATCATACAGATATGTTGAACAAAAGAGATATGTAGAACTTGTCAGATATAATTACTATCCAATGCAATATAAGATGGTTACATTTATTAAAAACTTTGCCTAATGACTCTCTTCTTCACAGTTTTAGTCAAAGCTATTATGTTTTTTTTAAATTCAAACATTTTCTAAAGAGCTTTTGATTGAAATAAAAGCTTTGCCGATGAAGAAATAGAATAATTGATTTAATATATTTTAATATTTCATTTTGTGGAGGATAAATTGCCTCACAATTAATCTCAACCTCAGCTAGAAGAAGTCTTAAAGGATATAAATGGCATTATATACTTTTAAAAAATATATTATCATAGATTATTTCTACATTAAGTCAAAATCTACCAACTTTGCACCTTTTAATCTTAAGATCCTAACTTTGATCCTAAAGTCATATATAATCCAAATGCAATAGACAAAATTGGCAATATCAAAAGGCTTACATGGATCACTTTAATAGATGTACTACATGTCTTTAGAATAGTCATACTATACATTGCAACTAATTTAGGGCAAGTTTTGGATAGTTCATCATGACAAATCTAATTGCAAAAGAAAATAAATTCATTCCAATTGACCAATAATCTACCAATATTATTTTTTAAAAAAAGAATTAATGGCACTTTCATTATATCAAAAATAAAAAATAAAAATCTCAAATATGAGGAAGTTAAGTGATAAAATTTAGCTTACTCTTTTATATATCAAAAAAAGATGATAGACCTATATTGCATAAGAAGGAGCTATTGCATAAGAAATTAGTTTTTATACATTAGAAGCAAATCCTATGTACGTTTAAAATAGTGATGGTTCAAGAATAAGAAGAATATTTGTGTTATTTTTTTTTAATTGAAATATATAATATAAAATATGTAAATATTTATACATAATTAAATATTATAGATTTTATTAAAAGCTATTCTAGATGATAATTTGAGTATAAATAGTATTTATATATTAAAAAATATAAAAAAAGTTTCATTCTTTAAAATATTATATTTAATTTATTACCTTATGGTATCAACTATATTAATAAGGGTGAATGGAATACAAAGAAAAAATCAGAATACAAATCTTTTAACTGAAATAGAATATGGATTTATAAATAATCTAAAATTAGAATTTATTTAAAGTCTAAATAAAATATTAAAGACTTTTTCTATGCAAGAAGATACTTGTAATTCTCATGTAATATTCAATGAGATGGACTTAGGATTTTGGCCCAATTAGACAAGTTATATATTAAAATTGCAAAGTCCAATAATAAAAATATATTAAAGTATATATTAAGAGGTGATATAGCTTTTCTAAATCATCTAATAATGAAACTTGTAATCTAATTTGCTCTAACTTGTAATTATAAAAAATTCTCAAAGACATGAATCACAAAAAAAAATCTAATAATTATAATACACTCTTATATCATCAAAAGAGACAAAATAGATAACTAAAAGGTAGATAAGGAATTAAAACTAGAATACTTATTATCAAATGCAAAAAGACTAAGAAATCTTGAATCAAGATAAAAGATAAGAAAGGCATTGATGAGAGTGAAGAAGGTCTCATTCTTGTCTTCATTTATACTATCTACTAAAGAACTATGTAGCAATGTTTTATAGGTTATATGACTTGTGTCTAACTTACAAGACACGTGTCTAATTTGTAAGGTGAGTTTGTGACATGTGCACTATAAGGCTAAGTGGTCAATCTATCAATCACTTATTAACATGTATAAAGTCTACAAAGCCTCTAGAAATTTTTCTAAAGAGTTATCTATAATTTTATCTACTTCTACTTGCTTCTATCTAATTCTACTTATCAAAATCATGTGATCTAAAAGGAATTAAAACATGCTTAAAATTAGTTAGAAATTTTTATTGAATAAAAAGATAAAGATTATAATATATAATTAAAGATAAAATAGAAATTAAAAAGAAAAAAAAGTACTAAATCCTTCTTTTTGAAGCTAAAGAAAAAATATCTAAATTAAAAATACTTAAACTTTTTGATGATAGTAGAAATAAAGTAAAAGATCCCTTATTAATTTACAAGATATATTATGACTTTTATTCTAGGCTATATTTTTAAAAAAGTGATTTAATATCATGTCTTAAAGCTTAGAAAAAAAAATTCAAGAAAGATGTTTAAACAAATAAATTAATATCTTTTAAAACCTTTATGCCTAGAAGAAATCAAACAAGAAATTAAGAAGATTTCAAAAAAGAAGGTTCCTAACTTAGATGGAATAGGTACAAAATTACTTCAATATTTGAAATATTATTAGCAAATATTATTTTATCATGTTAAAAAATAGAAAAACTATTATTAAAACAAAACATTGATAAGTATTATTAAAATAAAATATTGATAACTAAAAAAGAAGAATTTTTAAAATAACATAATTAGAGGCAATATAGTCTTTTCATATAAAAAAGAAGATAAGACTGCTCCTATTAATTGGCTATATATTATTTTACTCAATACTTCTTTAATGATTTTTGCAAAAGTATTAAAAAAAACTTCAAAAATCTTAACAGAAGTTATTTATTTAGATAAACATATATATATATATATATATATATATATTAAAATACATTCTAAATAATATATTCACTTCTTAAGAAATGATCAATTAGACTAAAACATCTAAACAATCTTATCTATTTTTCAATTTAATTTTTTTTAAAGCATACATAAGTTTTCATGAAATTTTTGTTTGAAGTCATAAAAAAATAGATCTTTATTTTCAATTTATATACATAAAAAGACTACTATTATTAAAAACAAAATATTGATAAGTATTAATAGCAATACAATAGAATTCTTACAACTACAAAGATAGGTTAGACAAGTTCTATACTTATTTTTTATTGTATGTGAATCTCTTAATATGGTTTTTTTTTAAAAAGATTATCGATAATAATATGAAAGATTTTATACTACTTGGAGAAGAGTTTTAAAAAATCCTAAATCAAAGTGCAAAAATTTAATCTTCACTACTAGATCAAAAGAATCTTTAATGGCTAAAGTAATTGATATCCTTCAACAATTCATGATGGCATCTCTCCTTGACATTAATTGGTCAAAGTTTATTATAAATTGGCAATACAAAAAGAATCTATCACTTGCATGGACAAACTCTTATGGTTAATCATGACCATAAAATAAAGAAATGTCTAAATTATTAGGTGTTCTTTTTTATCTAAATATTTTAATAAAAGACATATATCAACTCTTTTAGATTGGATCAAAAAGAAACCAAATTATTGATATATTGCAAAACTTAATACAATAGATTATATTTTTATTGCCAATAGTATCTTAATTTCATCTATATAATATTTTTTATTGATCCAGACAAGAATCCAAAAAGCATTAAATAAAACTAAAACATACACATTAAAACATTTATAGAATAATTTCCAATATTTATTTCATATAAAGATGGCTTAGAATATCTATTGTGTATCAATTAAAGAAGGACAATTAAGACTTGTTGATTTAAAAGAAGAATATATATTAATAAATAAAATTTAATATATAATATCTATTGTATATCAATTAAAGAAGGATAATTAAGACTTATTTATTTATTTATATATTTATTAAATTTTATTTATTAATTTGTATATAAATAATATAAGCTAATATTTGAAACATATTAAAATATCAATTAAAAAAATATTTACATTTAGATATATAAAAGATAATTATTTTTAAAAAAATTACAAATTTTACATATCTAAATAAAATCATGAAAAAATCATTATAAAGATTTCAAAGAATCAAATAAAAAATAAATAAAAAAAATAAAATAAAAAAAAAATACACACACATTTTTATTGCATTTTAGATTATATATTATTATATATTTAATTAAATAATTATCTAAATTTATAATAAATTTAAAAATAAATAAAAAAATACAATATGAGAGGAAAATTGTATAAAACATTATAATAAACTAGTTGTGATAAAAATCACATCATTTTTAAACATTCAAAAGATATTTGAGGATAACTTTGATTATAGACAACAATGAAGGAAGATGCCTATTGTGACAAGAATTAAGTTTTTCCTCTCCTTGTCAAAATTGTCTTAATCAAAACATGAAGTAACTTATTTTTAATTATGTTATAAGTACGATTTATAATATATTTATTTATATATTCATATATATAGTTCCATTTTATGAACTCTTTCTACTTGTACCATCTCCTTAAACTTCCAAAAAACATCTTTAGTTCATCACATGAGAGACAGTAAAAAATCTCGAAACACTTGTCTTTCAAAATGGGCTTCAAAGTAACCAAATCTTTGATTAATATTGCAAAAAAGTAACTATGATCGAGTCAGCGGCAACGATGGGCAATTAGGGTTGTGGCGCATTTGAGAAGGTAGTGTAACTGATAACTCTAGTACTAGATGCTTTCAAGTGTCAGCATGCTGATTGACGTTTATGTGTAATTAATTTCAAGAATACTGCCGCCGCAAAACTGCTTTCAGCAAGGATATAAGTCATAAAACACCGACAACCGATTGGAGATTATCATATACTTTCTACAGTACCACCTAATGAGCTCTGTAGCTTCATGATGTGAGTGCTGTGACGACCTCTCCAGGTAGAAATACATGATTTCAGCAATGTAGGTTTGGGTCGACACTATCAATCACCCTCTAGGTCTTCTCAAGGGGAAGATAAGCAAATGTAGAAGTTAGACCTAGCCTACTTTTGTAAGTGTGTTTTCGCCATGCCTTGGTGCATAACAGGAACAGATGATGGAAGAATTCAAGTAAAAAAAAGTATGTGTATCTATATATATATATATATATATATACATGTATGTGTGTGTGTATATGGGCAACCTCACCCAATGTGAATGCAAGGTATTCATGTTGAATATTCACTGTACAAGTGCACAGAAAGAAAACTGCACTGCAAACTCCACGAGTTTCACCCCACCTCACTACACTGCGCCCTGAAAACAGAGATACAGAAGAGGCTGCAAAGAAGGCTACCCCGTGATCGGATAGAGCACCTCTTGCGTGGAGACTTCCTGTAACAAGCTCAGTAAAATGCTCTACTCCAATAACGCAGACGGCAGGTCTCTTGAAGCATTACAAATGAGCGCCATGACAAGTTCATGAGTTGTGTGGGCACCTCAACTTGCAACCCGCGGGTTCAAGAAGCAAAACCTCAGTCAAGGGAAAATAAGCTACTGACTGGACAAATGAAGCAGCTCCATATGGCTTCATACACCATGGTTTGAAACTAATGGGACATAAAACTAGCGAAGATATAACTTTCAATCCATCACTCCAGCAACCCTCAATGTGACAATGACAGAATTGAATAGGAAGAGAACTTGTGAACTTAGAATCAAAGTATCGCTATTGGGCCTGTAAAGACCTTTAACCTACACAGCCATGGTGGACGCAAAATTAATGCTGTGTGGCAGAGCAACTCCCTCAAAGGCATCCTTCACTTCGGGCAGATCCGCAACAAACTCCACGACAGAACCCTCATAGTTGCTGATATCAGCAAGAGCTCTCGAAATGCTCATGGCAAAGACGTCATCGATCCAGGCATTGAATTTGTTTCGCCCACCAGGTATCCTCCACACACAGGATATGATGTACTCCAGTAGTCGAAGATCGATCTCAACCCCCACTTCGGGTGGAGCATGATCCTCAAGTGATTTACAGAGCTTGTACAATATCTCCATTCCAAGCCCGTTGAAATCATAAGAATCTAACCCAACAGCATAATCAGGTAAGGCACAGAACTTTTCAGACAGCATCAACCGAGCTTGCTCCAACACCTTCTCACGTTTTACCTCATCATCGAACTCGTTGGCGCAATGATAATCTGTCTTAACCGCACAGTTGCATTTGCTTTCTCCAGCGGCTAGATTGAGATCCAAGTTTAGGAACCTACCCTCGGGAGGTTTTGTCCGCTTTACCTCGACCTTCGGGCGAAATTGACCTGGAAACCATGAGTCCGATTTCCGCTTACTCACCCAGGTTGGAACTTCCATTTGAGAAAAACTAGTCCCAATGGACTCATTCGGGTGTAATTCACTATGGTCTACAACAAAAAACTTATCGTTATGGCCTTTGAAAACCACCTTTCCACTACTCTCATTCTTTATCCTTGCTCGAACATCGATTCTTCCCATGGCAGCCAGCTTCGCTTCTGAAAAAGTGAAGTTCTCAGAATTCTTCTCTAGCTCGTATTCCTCACTGCCAACACTTGAAGTCATCACGACGATCGTATTGCTGACGCTCACCTCACGCATACTTGAATCAGCAAGCTTGCCTCTCTCCATAGCCCTCACGATGCTGTTCCTGAACACACTGGTAGCTTTGTCGATATCCTCCAATAATAGGACTGAAGAAGGCTTCATTCGAACAGCTTCTACCAGCCTGTCCAGAGGAGTTTTACCTCTCATCCTAAAGTCGTCTGTTTCCAACCTCGCTGGCGACCCGTCCGCAAATCCAAGATGAATGAGGCTCCTCTCACCACCAAAAACCATCTCGGCCAGGGCTTTAGCAATAGCAACCTTCGCGACCGAATCGGGCCCTAGTAGAAGCAGCCATGTATCCGTCTTGGCAGTTGCACCTCGGAAGTTACCCATGCCAGACCGGCACTTCATTATAGTGGCTGCAATGCCAGCCACTGCACCAGACTGCCAAGGTACACGTTGCATAAGGCCCTTGTAAAGGCCTTTCAAAGTGGGATCATCCACAACTTCCTTCAAAGCAACGGGGGGAGGACTTGGAGATTTCGACAGACGAGTTAGACGTCTTGCCAAAGGTGATGCAGATGAGAGTCCACATAAGCCCCCGGGCCGTGGTGTGCTGTTCAGAGCAGCTCGTCGTTGATGCAAAGGGGATTGCAAAAGCCAATGTGGCTTACTATTATTCTTCAAGCTGATCGTGCTTGCTCCAGTACCCGCGCCTGGCCCCAACCCCGCCGCGTGCAGAGGACTGGGTTTCATTGCAAGTGATATGGGAGCCCTCAGCTTACCTGCCATTAGGAAGGCATCATTAGCTCTTCCAAGGGCCAAATTCGTATGGATAGGAGCCAGGAATGCTATCTGGGCAGAAGTACCAGTTGACCCCTGGGGACCTTCAGGATCATCTGGTGCAGAATCCACGCTACTTCCATCATTCGGAGAACCCAAGTCAGGCTCATCTGGAGCATCTGAGCTTTTGTCAGCCCCCAACGCGGCTGCATCTTGCACCTCCACCACTCCTTGCAGAGATCCAACTATACTTTGCCTTGAGTTATTCATGATAAAACTCGGTGATGTTCGGAATGGCTGATCTACAGCACATGATGCAAGCTGTCTGTTCTCTAGACCAGACCATCGAGAGGATATGTCAAGATCCAGATCTGCACACCAAATTCTTATTAGTCCTGAGATGTTCATAGTCAGCAAGCCGAAGAACAAGCTGATAACCAAAATTTCACAAACTGTAAGACGTCTTAATTCTCAAAGACATTCAAACCAAAGATGATCTTACAAAATCCTCATCCAAACACCGAAAAATAAGAAAGACCAAAGATGCTCTCACCACAAGGCTTCGAAAGGTTGCCGTGAGAGGAAGCCGACAGTCGACTCGAGGGGGAAGGCGGCTGCGGCTTTGACCGGGTCAAAACAGGGATTGGTGGTGGGTCTCCATGTAACATCCTGCAGGTCTTTTGCCACTTCTGTCCGAGCTGCACCAACTGCTGAGCCACTGACTGCTTCTTTAACTGGCCCATCCCTCCATTCACACCTCCAGGGCTAGCTTTGTCACCAGTAAGTGATAATTGTAGGGAGAGACTTTCATGCTCGTGAATAAGGTGACGCTCCGCTTCAAGTTTGGCCACACAATCAGTGCAACATTGGAGCCTATCAGTTGCTCCCATGTTGCTCACATGTCGAGCATCCATAATGGACCCTCCCCTTGCGGATAGCGAATGCACCGTCGAAAGATCATGCATGAGCTGAGTATTATTTGCAAATCTGTTCCAAACACAACAAGAACCGTTGAAGGCACCATCAGTTATGTGAACGGTCAAACACACGACAAGAAGCAAAAAATTCAAGTTATGAAAAACCAAGCATCCAGCGTTCAGGTGTAACCAGAGCAAGCCAAAATTTATGATTATATTGGTAAGAAAGACCAACCGTGATAGAAGGTTAGGCTGGGACACTGCTGAAATCTGCACAGGCTGGAGACCCCAATCAGCTAATAGAGATGGGTGTAGAACTTGCAGTCGTGCAAAAATTTGGGGAGTTGCCACTCCAATAAACCATAATCTGTTGCTTGCATGCCGAATTAGCAGCTGACACAATTCAGATGCAGTTCGTTGAGCAGGGCAAAAATTTGAAGGGCCCTTCTTCAATTGCATAGGCTCTGCAAGCCATTGCAAATCCCCAATATGAAGGATGGCACCCGCAGGCATACACTCCTCCACAATTTTACTCAGCTCCGCAAGTTTTTGTTCAATCTCAAGGCTGCTGCAATACCCAAAAGACGATGAAGACAGCTGAGGGTCCAGAAATTGCAAGCATTGCAGTTGTGCTGGCACATTCCCGTGTTTAATCTTCAGCGCTAAATTAGAACTTACATTATTCGCCGCCATCGTGTCTCCAACTAAAATGACATTCCTATTCTTAGGTTTCAGAAAAATTTCCAAGATGTTCAAAACATCCTCGTCCCTTAATGGAAGACTAGCTCCAGGGCCAACAAGCCGATTTGATGAGTTCGGAGTCTTAATCGCTAACTCTCTTCTCTCATGACTCCCAATAGATGCATCAGACTGCTGCCATGAACCCATGGAATTGGCCTGATTCATAACTCCGGACGAGAGCTTCGCAGAAGTCTTTGTCTCATTCTCCTCGTGAGTCATGCAACTGTTGTCATAAAATGAACCTGCAATCAACAAAAGCAGAACCCAGCTAGCTGTTATACATAGATAAAAGTTATGGCCAGAACAATTCGAACAGAATATGACATGTAACATTTCTAAAAGAAACATCATGTAGGGTTGTTACCAACTGCTGAAACTCAGAATCCTCACAGATATTCAAGAATTGTAAAGTTTTTCCAGATCGAGAAAAAACCCAGTTACGGTAATAGCCGAGGACAAATACCTTTGGACACCATATCATTACCGTGCTTGGAAGCCTGCTCAGATCCGTTTGGCAATTGTCCTGATCCGATTGTAACATGACCATTTATCAGATGTTCTACTCCGTTAGCTACAGTCACCGTGCTAGGCCCATCTTCCAGGTTGAACTTGACGTTAGTGCTGGAAAATCCTGCCTCTTTCATGACTCGACTAACACTGGGGTCATCCAAAATGGAAATAATCAACTGATCAATCTCGACTTTTACGGCGAGCAGAGGGGATTGTTGGTGCTCCGGGCATCCCCGTCTCTGATGCGCATGAGCGCGTTTGAGAGCGGCCATCAAGGCATTTGACAGAATAGGCTGGCTGGTAGCAGCCAACGCGGACTGCGGAAGATGGTCCAGTGCAACATTGAAGCAAACCTCCAGAGCCCGGCACTCTGCGGCCTGAGAGTTGTGCGGATGCGATAACATACACGCTTGTCGCAGACGGCTCTCGGCGTGAGTGAGGAGCATGGAGACAACATGGAGGGGTTGCACCTGGGGGTGGCCCCTTCTCCGTGCCTCGGTGACCGCATGCTTCAAGACGTCAAGTGCCGCCGGAGTGAGCAAGTGTTGCACTGAATTTGCCCCGCTACGCATACTCGCGTTCCTATTTCACCTACAAACTTTGCTTACTCCCTCAAAATTATGTTAACCAAATTTTTCGCGCTCCCCTGGTTCCCTGCTACTCTCCAATCTACTGCCTAGAACCAAGCCCACAGAACCTTCTGCATCTGCACCGGCACACCGCCTGGACATCCACGCGTACCAGCGCTTGAGAGGCTGCTTAGTTCTGGAGCATGTGAAGCCCCCTACAAGTCCCCTTCGCAATGGTTCCCACATCAGCATCGACGACAATGTCCACAGAAACAACCGCGAGAACCTGTTCCTTTGAAAGCTCTCCGATGAAAGCATTCACTGACAACCATGCCGTACCCGCACCACCCCGAAAAGTATGTAACATCTTCGTCAAAAATCTTCAAGCCGCTCCCACAGAAACCAGTGTCGCTCCCGTCCGAAACACCAACTATCAAATAATCATGACAAAAATGAACATATGCGTCCAAAAATAGGACGTCTTTCCGCACTTCGTATGGTCAAACCGCTTCTCTAGAAATTGTAAAGTTGTAGACTCAATTCTTCCACTGAAATTCCTGCAATCCATGCTAACTGTTTAGAAACCTGTATATGAAAAGGAAGCCCTCAACCCAGAGGGCCTTCAGTGTTCATGAGATAGATTAGATCAAATATGATGTTGGTGCAAACTGGGTAACTCGCCATTACTCGAGATCAAATGGAATCAACTGTTGTGAGCAACAACTTGGTGTACGTCAGTTTTAAGTCTGGACTGTTGTATACAACTCATCCTGACACTAAGTCTCGCGATTCTCAAATTGACGAAGTTAAGGTTTTGTTTCAAATCAGTAGTAGTTCCCAAGATGCGAACATTAAGGGCAAAACATGGATTCGGCTCGCTCTTCAAAATAGTTAAAGGTGATTGCGAAAATTCGCCACTAGCGGCTGCAGAAGCTGCAGACACTTCTAGTTTTGAAACGAAAATTGGAAGATTCGACCAGATGGAAACTGCAGCACATGTGCTGTAGAACACAGCACATAGCCGAGTAATGGCAAACGAAGGAGCGAACTAACCTACCAATTCAATTGGAGAGATTAAACGTACTCAAAAAAACCATAAGCATCCCTGGTTTTCGCAGACATTTTCATCAGAATGACAGTGGTTCATCTTTTATACGTAATTGATGTCAGTTATGATTGGTGTTGATTTTGACAAGCTCGGCCATAAACTTGTGAGAGGCGAACGAGAACATTAAAATACCTGGACCACCTATGATAAAAACAGACTCAAACCATGCGACGAGTACGAGATAAAGGTCAGGATGGCGAGCTACACGTCATATTGAACGCTACTACTCTCAATGCAGCTCCGACACACCCTAGTAGCCATCCTCATCATATAGGATCGCCTACTACTCGAATCGACCTCTTCCCAAAAAAATCACAAACCAAACAAGACACACCCTTGGTCGGCACTACTCTACTCATTTGGCGATGAAGCCAAGCAGCGTACCTTAAAGCCTCCGGCGCGGATGGACTAGTTCAGCAAACTTCTAAGTCTCTGGCTTCAAAGGTTGAGCTACGGCTTTCTCCAGAGGCTTCTACCTCAACATCCCCCCCTGGCGAAACGGTAGAGGCAGGTCCTTCCTAGTACTACTCTACGATGACCAACACGTCGAGAACTCACTCCGATCACCTCGCACTGAGAGCGTCAATGCACAAGCAAACAACGCAGAATCCACTTCACAATCCCCAAACTAAATTACACACAACGTGACAGCGCGGCGCACGAGTGTGTGGATTCTGCGCTGAGATGAGAAAGCGAGCGTGCAAGGGCGACAGAACGAGAATTCAGGGAGAGAAGGGGCTGAAAATGGCTTGCAAGGGTGGAAGGTTGGGCTATGGTGGACAGCAAAGCACGGTAACGCTGCTGCAGAAGTGGCATGGCACTGGGCGTGCGACAAGGAGCGGAGCGGAGCAAAGCTAGACTAGACTCGAAGACGGCGAAGGAGGAGGAGGACCTTCCCCACCCGACGACTTGGAAAGGGGGTCGACGCGCTGAAAATTATTCATCCGCCCTCAACTTTCATTTGCTCCATAATATCTGCTAACTTATCTTACACGAGGTTTATTACTTCCCCTCGTTGTTTTCACTAGAATACGCCATTTGAAAAGTGAGACTAAGTGCAACAATTCTCCCGTCTCAAATTCCATGCAGAACGGTCCCCTGGGCATTTGTTGTCCGGACGAATCGTTTTGCATTCATCTACTTTCGTTCTATTCCGGAGCTGGCGTCGGATGCCCACGTGAAGGAGTAATGCCCACATCAACGGTGGATGGTGACTCATCCAGGGCTTTCACGTGGAAATAGAATATTTAGTGGAACGGAGGCATGCGGATGCCAACTGGGATAAATGGATGATATGTGGATGATGGATGAAATATTTTGGACCATGGTCAAAAAGAGACAGAGACCTGAGCTTCGACTTTTGCCTTTTTTCTTCTCTCTTCCTTTTTGTGCTGCCCATGTTGGGCAGTGGCAACAGGCCAACTCTGAAATCGCACTGGAAGCAGAACACTGGGATCGACTCAGCAGGGGAAATAGTTAAATTTTGGTATCTTCGTATAATATTCTGCATCAGTTTATCTGTTAGAAAACCTGTTATTTTATTTTTCTAATAGGAGGGTATAAATTGAACAAGTTGTGTATGGTGGGGATATGAACATGAATTTGTTAGTTTCGAGAGGAGAATATGCATAGCTGAGAAAATACAATCGGTGAGTTGTGAGATATGAATAACTCTTCACCAGAAATAATCAATCAAGGGGATCTTGCAGATTCATTTTCGATGATGTACGCACATCTACAATTACAGTATGTATTCACATCTACAATTCGATGTATGTAACATTCACACCAATCTTGAAAGTGAATGAAAACAACATTCATCATGGTCAACATTTTGTGAAAAACATTATTTATTTGTCATCCAACAAACCAGGACCAAGTAGACATCAAACAAATCTTCACACAATTCACAGAATAAACAAAATAAAACTATCAGAAACAAACAAGCTGCTTCTACAAGGAGACATTGTCATATAATAAAGGATTATTAAATCTGGTGTATTTGTAACAATCTCTGAAACATGTAAAGCGACATAAAACTCTTCTTTCCTTTCTATACTTGCTTTATAGAAACTATCTGCAAGTATATGATTGTAAGCACCTTCTTGGATGTTGCTGTAGATGGATAATCCAGGATTTACATAGGAAGAAGGGTCAGAGAACAATAATGAGAACCCACATGAAAGTCATACACGTCTTGTCCAGTCCACTGTCTTCACATACAATTTGTTTTGCATTCTAAATGTAGGGTATGAAACTTTCATATAATACCAGGCCTGACAATATCCACTTTTCCAACCTCATTTTTTTTTTTTTTTTTTTTTTTTTTTTACATCATCAAATTTCACAATCAACAAGTTTCATATGCTGGCTGACACATCGCCTGTTCTAACCATTGCCCACAACTCTGCCAAGCAATTAAATGACCAGTTTCAGGGTTTAAGATTTAAGGTACACAAACCTTATCGACAAATGTTATATACACCTATTTTTTAATTTTTTGTGTGGGAAATATTAGCGACCCCAGAACATACCAGCAAGCAAAAGTGATTATGAAGGTTTGATGCGTAAGTAGCTGGTGCGATCTGAAGCAAACAAAGAGGAAAAAAATAAAAGGAAGAAGAAGCTGAAGACGAAGAGAACGACACAAATGGACTTGAGCTTGTGTGAGCCGGAGCCCATTTGACAATTGGTTCGCAAGGTGCAGATAAGTAACAACGAGGTCTCGATTGGATACGATAAAGCTGAGTAATGAGATGTAGGGGAAAGGCATGGCCGCTATAGGCTGAAAGGCGAAAAGGTGCCATAATTGGGGGTTTCGGTGCAGAGGCAAGTTCGGAGCTACGGCATCAATACTGACGATCCTTTTTCTCGCGTCATCGACTACCTTAATTTCCTTCATTGTTGAACAGATTCGCATCCACCATCTCTGTGCTCATTCATCCCCCGTCTCCATTGAGTCCAAGCATCGAATCGGACCAATATCGCCTTTACAGATCTTCTGTAACCAGGCCACGACCTCGCAGGGCCACCCAAAAAGGAAGGCCCCATTATTGAACGCCTGTGGCATTACAGCAACAACCTTTCTTGCCCGGTATTCGGGTCCCTGCGAGAGAGCCTTTTGAAGCCCAGGTGGACCTTTCTCTTAAGAAAATTCCTATAGTCTGTTTCTGGAAAAAGTGGTGAGTTCTACTTTGGAAATGAAGTCTTAAAATACACAGACTGCACATGAACGTTAGCACCTCTGTAAAGGCTTCGATCTGAGAAAGGAGGGTTCGAGGAAATATGTTGCTGAGAATCCTGATGCCATGTTCAAGGATTTCACACAGGGTGTTAGAAGAGGTGGAAACCAAACGGGCCCACTGGAAATTCCCATCGTCGGATATGACCTTGCTCCCACGATTAGGTTCAGGCGCGATGCCTTGGAAGGAGCAGACTGCCCGTAACTGATTCAACCGCTCATTGATGGAATTCCAGTCCCAGAGCTCAGGTAACTATCCGATCCCAATTCGCATATAAAAATACACCTATCCTTTATGAAAACTTTACACAAACTGAATGGATGGCGGAGTGTGGGGATATCAGGATGCGTGCAAAAGCTGCAATGAGACAATGCGCAGGCGTAGGCTCGCACTTATTCGGAAAGCCTACAAGTAGGAGTGTCAGGGCCAGCTTTTTCCCCCTGGAGACCTCTGTTTTATGACGACTGCTTCAGCTTCCGAGAAAACAACGGCACGCTGCAGAGCTTTTTGCGGGCAAAGTCTGGCGCCACACGTTCGCAGTGGGAGAGACAGAGTTTGTCAGTATGCGCGCGATTATACACTGCTAAGTGTTGCCCACTCTTCTTCTTCGTTGTTTTTCGTCTTCGTTGTCCTTAGTTTCTTCGTCTTCGTCATGTTTTTTGCCTCGTCTCTGTCGTCTTCTCTTCCTTCGTCGTCGTCTTCTGCTATCTTTGGCAGCAGACTCACAAATCTGGTTTGGATGAATGAGTCAGGTGAGAATGGGCGCAGAATGAAGAGGTTCTATTTGCAATTGGAAGTGATAGTTTTTTGAATGGACCCAGTATTTTTGGTCTGAGTGGTGAAGATGTTGGCAGTGGAGGCAATGCAATGAAGGAGAGATCAAGTGATAGCTCTTTGCAAAGCATACTAAAAAGTTAAAACATGGCAATGGAGAGAAAGGGTTGGAATGGAACCTTGATAACTTGCCTTATCACCTTCCTTAACCTTAAATATTATACTGGTTGGATAGTTAGTTTGTCAACAATCTATCAATGTAAATAATATGCAATATTATAAGAAGGGAACAAAGACTTGTTGTTTGATGGATCTAATGTTTAAAACTTGATACTTAAAATATAAGTAAGTTCAAAATTTGATAAGTTAGAAAGTTCATTTTTTTATATTTAGTTTAGGTATAGAAATAACTTATTAATCATTTCAAATCATTATTGCATCATAAGATCTCTTTTCAAATATTAATTTACAAGTGTTAATTCCAAAAAATTCTCCTTATGTGAAAATTTACATTAAGAGCAATTTTCGACCAATTGCTAACTTGAAATTGATTACATACAATTCAACTTCAATTGATGATTACAAAGACTTAAGTTAAATTAAATGTTAAAAGAAAAAAAAGGTAATGATTTAGAAAGTAAATTATATTCACAATCAATTCAAATAAAACTTTGTAATCATTAACAATAATAACAACAATTATACCCTCTATTTGATATTATGCATGCCTAACCATCAACCTTGGTTTGGATCTTTTCATTATATTAGTTTATTGCCTTTAGTTAACCAAATTAATTAATATTTCTATCATTTTATTTTAAAATATATCCATTAATATTTATATAATGATAAAATTATTAGGCCAATTTTAGATTATATTATCTTGTGTGGCAAATGAAGATTTGATCAAAATTTGAATTTGGTTAATAATTGTATGAATTAATATGCAACCACCATGAGATGCAGTTACACTTTCATCTAAATTATTAGAAAGGTTGAAAACTTTATTTGTTAGATTTTTGGCCTTAGGTCTTTATTTCCAAAGAACATATATAAGTCTTCTTTGGTTTTATATAAATTAAATTATGCTTGAAGAAGATATCAATATCCAATTAAAGGTATAAATGATATTTTAATATGTATTGGATGTTTGACTCTTTATATAGTAATTAAAGTGGTTTTTATATTGAAATTAAATATAATAAGTTTATAATCTTATCTTCAAATATGATAATATAATCCAAAGTTTTTGAATTCAAAAGCTTTGAATACACATTGTTATTCAACATTCTTTGCATACTTCAAAAAAAATGTTGTAGTATTGGCCTCCTAATATTCTTATGTAAGTAGTTGCAATCTCTTTACATTGGAAGATAGCTATAATTGAAGCAAAGAAACAATTAAAGAAAAAATAAAAATAAAATAAATTTAGAAGTGTTGAAGAATATAGAGATAAATTATACTTTAGAATTGTCAAATAATACTTATATAATGCATAAAATTTAATGTAATAGAAGATGGTTGTTGTTTGATGTTGACTTCTAAAATAAAAAGAGATAAAAAAGACAAAAACTAAATGTAATTTGATTGTTCTTATTTGAAGGTGTCATTGTGTCACGGCCATAATCATGTAAGCTAATAATTACATATAGAAATAGGTAGAAGTAAGTAAAATTAGATAAAAGTAAGTTAATTCTATAATATTTAATATAAAAGCTTCTTAGAAACTTCCTAGACGCTACTTTGACTTCATAGGTGTCTTTAATTGACTTTTTGGATTAGAAACATGGTCAACAAGTTGGCCATGTGCCACACATGTTGTTAGCTTGAAGATCAAGCTAACTATGTGGCCCACACGTAGAAAAACTTGCCTTGTAAGTCAAGGCATATGTCCTACAAAGTCAACACATATTGAAGATCCTATAGAATGTCGCCACGTAGCCCTTAGTTAGATAGTATATATAGAGACAAGAGTGAAGGCTTCTTCACTCTTGTCAACTCCTTTCTTGCTTCTAGTCCAGGTTCAAGAGTCTTTAGTTTCTTGTCTTGTGGCAATAGCCATTCCAGTTTTCTTTTAATATACCTACTTGAGTATATTTTGACTCATTATATCGAGATAGCCTTTTTGTGTATATTTTCCCTCATCGAGTCTTTTGTCCTTGACAGATTGACAAGAGTACACTTACAATATCAGAGCTTTGTTTTTCTTGAGTAAGAGTGGATTACCCCTTTCTCTTGACAAGACATAAGTGTATTAGAAGTTTGCGGATTATCCACTTCTAAACTGATATTGTTCTTAGTATCTTCTTTGTTATCAAGTCTTTCTTTTCTTTTGTCTTGAGCAGTATCAAACAAATTTTTTCTTCTTAGTGTCATTATGGCAGAGCTTGTTGAAATGAAGAATGCAATGGCACAAATGCAAGAGCAAATGAGGGAGTTAATGCTTGCGATGCATCAACTCAATTCACCAACACATGAAAGAACAAGAATATCAGAAAGTGGGGATATAGAGATGATCGGAGCTGCTTCAACATCTACAACAAATCACGTTCCTTCTCGAATTGTACAACACCCTATAAGCACTAGAGAACCAAGAATTGCCTTACCTGAGAAATTTGATGGTACGAGATCAAAGTTTCGAGGGTTTATCAATCAAGTACAATTGGCAATTGAACTTCAACCGCAAAGCTATCCAACTCCAGGATCACAAGTCAGGTTTATTGGCACTCTACTTTCTGGTTCTGCATTATCATGGTTTTCGTCTTTTCTTGAACAACAAATTTGAAAGGGGTGTTGGAAGAACGTATATTAAACGCTAAGGTGGAATTCACATTGAAAGAAGTCTTGGGAATTGCAAAGAAGGAGTTTCATGATGTCATCATTGACAACATTAAGCGAAAGAGGTAATTAATGGGCGAAACTGGAATGAGTCATGTTATTGATGCAAGAATATATAGAGATGAAGAAGAGGTTGATATTGGTTATAAGCAACCAACAAATGAAAAGAATGGGTATAATCAACGAGTACGCTTCGAAGATTCTAGTGACAAGGAAATAGAAACTTTGAGCCATTATACTCGAAAGCATTAGGCAAGGGCAACTACTGAGGTATTGGTGAAGGTAGGAGATATAGAAGAACCAATAGTTGCCTTGGTGGACCATGGTTCTGAAATAAATCTCATGTCTAAAGATCTTTATAAGAAGCAAAAATGGCCAATTGATATGGAACATGGATGGGCAATACGAGCAGCTAATAATACACGAGGCGAATTATATGGAGCTTGTCCAGATGTCAAAATTCGGATTGGGGATGTTGCGACGGAGCAACATTTCTTTGTTCAAGATACAACGTCTTATCCGTTGATTTTAGGACAACCTTATAATACGGCAACACGGATGAAAACAAAGGTACTTGACGATGGTTCTGCTTATGCAAGGGTACGGAGCGAAGATGGGAGGAAAGCTGTACAATTTCTAACAGTACCTCCTAACCATGAACGGAATCGAGATAGGTTGAGGGAGAAACCATTGCCAAAGATTGTTGAAGGATTTAAGGATTTTGGGGAGGTACCACTGTAAAGTGAGATTATGGAGGTACAAAAGAGGAGGTACTCTCGTGAAATGAAGGTGCCTTTGATGCGAGTTTTATTGGTATATTGGAGAATGGAAATATTATGTATAAGAAAGTTGATGATTTTAAAAGAAAAGAAAGAAAAAGATTATATGATATTGAAGGACAGTTATGCAAGATAGGTACATTGCAAGATGATGAGAGGATTTTGGGTGTTTATGAAGAAAATGGGCTAGAAGATTCATTGGAATTGATTACATCTATTGGGTTAGGAGATAATGATAAGATTGTTGAGATTCATTCGAGAGAGGTTTATACCATGCTTGAATCTTTTCAAGCACCAGAAGTCACAGTAGAGACGAGATATAAAACGGTAGATAAGAAGGTAAAACCTGTTGCCGGACCATTACCAGAGGATTCTAAAGAACAAATGGGAGAAGCATCAAAAGAAGCAAGTTTAAGAGATCCAATGAGTATTGGACATCAGTTTACTGAAGAGACTTTTGAGGAATTGAAGATTGGTTCTGATGGTTCTTTATTGTCGGAGGAAATTACTTGCTTCAAAAAGATGTTGGCTAAACAAGGTAGATCGTTTGCCTTCGAATCTCATGAAATTGGGTGTGTGGATCCAAATATTATAACACCTATGGTTATCTTCACTGTACCGCATGTACCTTGGAATCTAAGACCGATTCCAGTACCGAGGGCACATTTACCTAAATTGGTGGAACTATTGAAAGAAAAGATAAAGATGAAAATATTAGAACCTTCATTTGCGCCGTATTCTAGTCGATGGTTTACGGTACCTAAGAAGAATGGGTCACTGCGGTTTATTCAAGATATGCAGCCGGTGAATGCTGTAACTGTCAGGAATGCAGGAATTGGACCTATTGTGGATGAATTTGCTGAGGCATTTGCTGGAAGGGCGATCTATTCAATGGGTGATTTGTATTCAGGTTATGATCAATTTCAACTTACCAAAGGAAGTAGAGATATGACAACGATGAAGACACCGCTTGGATTGGTTAGAATGTGCACTCTTCCTCAAGGCACGATCAACTCAGTTGCGCATATGATGAATGGGATGAATAAGGTATTGAGAGATTTTATTCCGGAAAAGACTATGCCTTTTCTGGATGATGTTCCTATAAAAGGGTGCAGAGAAGGAGACAAGGATGAAACTTTAGATACGAGGGGGTATCGCAGATATGTTGTTGATCATATACAAGATTGTGAAAAGATTTTAACTCGGCTTGGAGAAGTTCATCTTACATTATCAGGTATGAAGTCCATATTTGGAGTACGAAAGGTTGTAATTGTTGGACATTTATGTGGATCTTACGGAAGAAAACCAGATCTGACTAAAGTTGATGCAATTGGAAGGATGAATGAGGATTGTGATTCTTTAACAGAGGTTCGCAGGTTTTTGGGTGCATGTGTATTTTATCGAATCTGGATCCCTCATTTTGCTCACATAGCGGATCCATTATATGAACTGTTACGCAAGGGTTACCGATTTGAATGGAAAGAAAGGCATATTCAGGCAATGCAAAGATTGAAGAAATTATTGATGTCACCTCCAATATTGAGGAAGGTTGATTATAAGTGCAATAGACCAATGATTCTTACTGTAGACGCTAGTCCAATTGCCGTTGGATGGGCGGTAGGTCAAGATGATTCGAATGGGAGTAGATTTGCAGTTCGATTTGGGGCTAAAGTTTTAAGTATTCGTCAGCGTGCA